TCCCCCTATCTCCTGAAAAAGACAAAAGCTATTCCCACAGCTATAAATACTCAACTATCCAACAAAGAGCAACAGAGCATGGACAGAGTTCCTACTCCTGTCCTCTGAAGATGCCGGCCACAGAGACTGGCGAAACGTCAGGAAGAACCACCTTCAGAACACGGCCAAAGAACCCGAAAAACCCACAACAACTATCAGATCCCGGCCGTGAAAGCCTTTGAGAATACAAATTATACAAACTTTATTCGAATATCAGTAGGGTTCTTGGCACCAAACTGGAAGCCTGTTCTCACCCACATCAATACACGCCCAGCCCTGAACATATTCCTAGTGGAGAAATTACCTTAACGATTCAACACTGTTTCGTGTTGACTTCACAAAGAAGTCTGTTCTGCCCTTCCTGGTAATATCTACGAGACCTCCTCGATTATCCAACACTCCGGAATGAATGGCCGCCCGACATATACTGGAGGACTGGAGGTGGGTAGAAAATTAAAAAACATTTAAGTTACTTGTTCATTTCTGATTGAAAACTGTATTAATATTTGTAGGAGGAGGGGGAGTGGACATTACTTTTTATGACTAGGTAACACTCCAAGGAGTTTACAGTCATCATTGGAAAAACATCCAGTAACAATAGAACCATTAAAATATAAGAAAACAAAGTATGACCATTATAAAGCCATTAAAATCCCTTCAATATAAAAACAGCTAAAATAGTGGCAATTAATTAAACTGGCCAATTTAAAAAGCTATGTTTTCATTCCTTTTCTAAAAGCAGAGAGAGTTAGGGGCGAGTTGGATTCCACAATCTGGGTGCTAAGCAAGAGACAGTCCTTTTCTGCCTCTGCAGCTCATGTTACTCTCATGGAGGCATTTTGCCAGGATGTCATCCTCCAGACAACTTCATAAACATGCCATCCCTAATCTAGCAAGATCCAAAACTGTTCGGGGCTTCATACATTAAAATCAACGGCTTGGAGTGATGTGACTTCTTCACTTTTTGTTGGAGTTTTTACAAACCTGCATGCTGCCTCTGCTGGGTTTGGCTGGGAGGGACTTTCCTGGGTGTGGGTGACTGTCAATCAGTCCAGCAGTAACCAATTGTTCCTTCCCTGCCTCTGATTTAAAAAAGAACCACACCTCTTGGCTTAAGTGTCTTTCCCCCTCTTTTTTTAGTAAAGTTTAGTAAGTTATGTCTGCAGGAGTCTGCTCGAAGCAGACTACGAATCTGTTGAGACCTGCTATTGTAAGCAGTAATGTGTGTACAATATATGTTTTTGATCTGTTCAACTGTGAGTAAATTGAACCTTTTTATTCTTTCTCTTAACCATGTTTCACAGTGAGTTATTGAGACTGTAAGTGCCAGTTAATGAGAGAAAAGGGTGGGCCACTCTGGGGAACTTACAGCTAATTCTCCTCTGTGGTTCCAAGCAATTCTGGTGCGCAGCTAGAGGTTTTTAACTACAATTCAAAATTCCACAACAGTTTTAGCAGAAATGTATGCACCATTTAAAAACAAAGATCAGAATTCTAGTTGGTATGTGGATTCTAGTTGCTGGGAATTCTGGGAGTTCTGATGCCAAAAAATAACTTTTCCACACTGTTGCTTTGAAACAGCAGGTTTTACTTACACTCTCATAGTTAAAGCTCCCAAACACTTTTGCTTTACTGTTCAAGCAGCCGGCAGGACACAGGTACCTAGCAAAGAAAATATTTATCAACCCAAACACTTTTGCTTTACTGTTCAAGCAACCGGCAGGACACAGGTATCTAGCAAAGAAAATAATATTTATCAGATTAATGCAGAGTTAGGATTGAGCAGAGGTATGGCTTAATATGTGCGGAACAAGCATGAACCAAGAATAGCCTGATTCAGCCATTCCTGTTCCTACCACTGAGCAATGACTCCCCCTCTCCTAAAATGAACCACTGTACCCCAAACGTTTGCTACATGTTACTTTGAGGCTGCCTTCCAATCAGCCCCTTGAAGAACGCATCAAGTATGTTCTAGGATCTTGGGCCTCCAGATGTTCTGGGACGTCAACTCCCAGAAATCCTGGCCAGCAGAGGTGGTGGCGAAGGCTTCTGGGAGCTGTAGCCCAAGAACATCTGGCGGCCCAAGGTTGGGGACCACTGTTCTAGGACACCCCATTTGAAACCAAAGCTGGGAAACCCTTTCAGTGAAAGTCAACGTGAAAGTAAAAGAGGATCTCAATTCCATGCTATCACCTTCACTCCAACCTATGGCAATTCTTTCCAGTTTTTTCTTGATAGTGAGTATCTAAAAGGAGTTTACTCTCCCCTTCTTCTGGGGGTGACCTGGGACTGTGCAGCTTGCCCAAGGCTACACAGGCTGGCTCTTCTCTAGGACACACAATAGGAAATTGAATTCCCAACCTCTAGCTCCACAGCCAGATACCCAGCTAGCCGGTATAGTGGGCAGATCCAAAGGCAAAATGATGGAACAGAAAATACCAACGTAATTGAATTTAATGCATCATTCCGGATGTCCCAGTGGGCATACATTTTGTCTTACTGTTGATAACTAAAGCCTTAGAAGATACATTTCAGCTTGATAAAAAAAACTGAGGAGAATCTGTAGAAAAGCCAGGTAGAAACATCAGTGTCACAAGAAAGGACCTGACCATCTGGGGAAGAGACCAGAAGACCAGACAAATAAACAAATAATCAAATCAAAAATCACTAAACATTCATTGATTCATATTCATCAGGAGCTTTGATGTATTTGAATACAAATCAACAAATTAGCAATTTTTGAATGAATTTTGGTGATTCATTTTTAAATTTGTGCCCATCTCTAGTCATGTTCAGTGGTCCTTGTATATTTGGCATACTTTCTGTATAACAGAGGGCTTCCAAAACCCAGCGCCCTCCGTATGTGTTGAACTACAAATCCCAACAGCCAGCAACTGGACTGGGAAGATGGGAGTTGTCATCCAACACCTATGGAGAAGGTTGGACACGTGGACTCCAATTCCTATCATTGCTCACCATCAGCCATGTCTTCCATGGCTGACCAGCTTTTGACTCCAACCTTGGAAGGGTGTTTGTGAAGGTCCCTGTTTCCTGTTTCAGAAAGTGCAAACCCGATTCTTTAGCAAATTGATGGTTGTGAACGTGTTCCACAACAACAAAATGGAAAATCACCACATTAGATCATCAGTTGAGGCAAAGGTGGGGGGAGGACTCTTGAATACAGTGAACTTATAGTAACTCCATTTAAACTGCCCACGTTATAAAACGTGGGAGGGGAAAAAGCAACACAGTGATGCAGAAGAGGAAGAAGAAAAATACCAACTTTGCTCTAGGTTTTCAAACAGCCTTCTCTTTAAGAAATTAGCCAATATTTGATTTGGTTTTGGCTCGTCTCTCGTGCTCCTTCCCCAAAAGTGATAAACTGTACTGTAACATTGAGTAAAACCCTCAGACATAACCTTGGTGTAGGAGCTTAACCGTCCAGCAGAGATAAGTAAACAACGCTGGTGTGGGATACTGAAAGGTCATGCCAACAGGAGCCCAACACCAAGAGGCATCTAGAAAATTCTGGGCCCCCATCGCTTCTTTGCTGCATGAAACAAATGAGTTTCCCTTTGCTTCTGCCCAGTTTGGCCACATCTCTTGGGAGAAGGGGCCCTAAGAAGTTGGCTTCATGTCACAGAGACTTCCAACTGGGGATTCCTGTCACTGCAAACAGAGCACAGTCCACCTCGCCTTTGAAACCCTGTGCAATTTTGCTAAGATGGAGAAAACTGTTTTCCCAGAGAGGTTGCAGGAGGACAGCGAAGAAAGAAAGAAAAGGGGGAAATGACTACCTGTTACATGTGGATCCTTTGCATTTATCTCTCATTTTGGTGTCGCATTTGATGACTTGGGCTAAAATAAGAAGAAGATACAGAACCACATGAGGGCACATCCTGCATCAGAATCTACAATGTTATAGCATGCACATAAAGTGATAAACAGAAATTTTAACATCCAGAATCAGTGCCAAATACCAGATCCGTTCTAAATAGCACAGCTGTTTAACATCCAGAATCAGTGCCAAATACCAAATCCGTTGTTCAGTCATCAAGATCATGAGGAGACACAGCTCAGAAGAGGTCCTGTTTTTGGACTCCAATTCCCAGAATTCCCTAAATAGCACAGCTGCCAGGGATTCTGGGAATTGTAGTCCAAAAACAATGTTTTTTTTCCCTTAGTTCCATGTATAGGAAGCTGTTTTAAACCAGACCAGGCTACAGGTTAATGTAGCCTAATATGATATAGTGGGACTATCAGTAGCTGTTCAAGATTTCAGGCAGAAGTCCATTTCTAGCCAGTAGCTGTTCAAGATTTCAGGCAGAAGTCCATTTCCTGTCACTCTAGCCGGTAATTTTAAGTGGGAGCAGGGCCGGCTCTATCATTAGGCAGAGTGAGGCACAACCATCTCAGATAGATGACAGGGCCGGCTCTATCATTAGGCAGAGTGAGGCACAACCATCTCAAATAGGAGATGCTGGGGCAGTGGCAGTAGCTCTCTCTGTTTCTCTTGAGTCTTCTAGCCACCCATCTTCATTGGAAGACAAAGATAGGTTTGCCACCTGGCCTGCTAAGCATCTTCCACCACAGTCAGTGGTGGGAGATACGGCCCTCGCACCCGGATTAAAGTCTGTGTGTGAAATGGGAGGGGGAGCACCTCCACAAGAGCCAGCGTGATGTGGCATTTAGTATATTCAACGGGCACTCAGGAAATCAAGGTTCATGGCCCCCCACAATGGAACCACAAAACTCAATGCTGACCTTGGTTCACTCCCTTTCTCTTTCAGCCTGGCCTACCTCAGAGGGCCATTGTGAGCCTGAAATGGGAGGAAAGGAGAAACAAGTGCAGATGCACGAGCTCTGTGGAAGGACGTAGGGATGGAAATGTAGGCTGAGAGACAACCAAGAAGTCATCACCAAGACCTCCTGGATGTGTAGCTCATGCTTTACCACTCAGCTACACTCCCTCTCCAACTCATCCCTGGCCTACGCTCTATGGATGTATTTGAATGGCATTTTCTTCCCTTATGGTGTTGGCCTGTTGTTTCCAACTTAAGGCAAACCCAACAGGGTTTTTGAGGTACATGAGATGTTCAAGAAGTGGTTGCCATTGCTAGTCCCAGGGAGCTTCCATGGCCCAACTGGAGTTTAGACCAAAATCTCCTAGGTCCTTGTCTAACCCTCTGTCCTTTACATCAGTGGTCCCCAACCTTGGGCCTCCAGAAGTTCTTGGACTTCAACTCCCAGAAATCCTGGCCAGCAGAGGTGGTGGTGAAGGCTTCTGGGAGTTGTAGTCCAAGAACATCTGGAGGCCCAAGGTTGGGGACCACTGCTTTACATCACCGTGAATCTCTCCTTGATTATCTTCCTGTGGCATTTGCTATAATGGACGTAGACAGCAATCGCAGCGAAAGAATTGCCTTGCACATTTTAAAAAAAATCAAAATTATCCTGAATCTAAGGAGACAAAGAGGCCTTCTTACTCATGTGGACCGTGCTAGTTGCTTTCTTGTCCTTCACCGGTTTTGTGGGTTGAGGCTTCACCCTCTCTTGCACCCACACGTGTTTGTCTTCTGTCACTTGCGGGATCTCCACTTCGTTCGTCTCCTCTGTTTCGGGTTTCGCTACATAATGCTCATCTTTTCCCCCAAAAAAGAGAGAGTTACAAAAGAGAAATGTGTTAATATTTAAGGTCAGCAGTGAAGAGAGCAAGCGGTGAAGAAGGACGGCACTCTGTAATTTGCCCTGGGGAGATTCGGCTGGGTTGCACAAAAGTTCACTTCTGCTTGAAAGCTTAAAATACAAAAGTAAACAGCGGGAAGGTGGGTCATTCTCAGCTCAGGCCGGTAAAAGCAAACAAGACCTACATGTTAAACATCTAAGAATTACCACCATAAATTCACTCGAGGACTATGTAATCCAATGTTCGGTGACTGACAGCAGTTAAGCAACTGCGGCTGAGAGCAGACAACAGCCTTCACTGTCCCCAGCGAGTTGTATTTGGGGCTTGACTGCCCTTGCACATGGAGGTTCAGAGCTTAGAGAAACGTCTTCTCCACGTTACACGTCTCCACGTGAACAAGTCCACTTGGCCAGTGGCCACGCTACTTGGGGAATTCTAAGAGATATTGTCCCCCCCCCAAAAAAAAAGTTTCAAAATTGCTCAGAAAAACCCCACTGTAGGCCATTTTGCCATGTTCAAGCCTACCTAATGTGTGTTTATTTAATTTCTGAAGAAATGGCCACTATGGGATCTGTGAGGGGTTCGTCAACAAAATAAATAAATCGATGAAAAAGCTTGTTTAAAGAAAAATATACAGTATTTTTGGAGTTGGATGTAATTGCAGGTCCAGGGCTGGCCGTGAGCATCCTTTCAATCTCTGCCCACCTTTGTAGTAGACTAACCTCTCAAAATAGTCTTAACATCTCCTTCACGGTGACGGATCGTGGCCAATAACAACAGCTGGAATTTAAGCTGGCCGTGAGCATCCTTTCAATCTCTGCTCACCTTTGTAGTAGACTAACCTCTCAAAACAGTCTTAACATCTCCTCCTTTACGGTGACAGATCCTGGCCAATAATGACAGCTGGAACTTAGGGGTCATCCCTGGTCAAAAGCAAGAGTCTAGATCAAAGGGTACTGAAAACCTGACCACGTACCTTTGTAACACAGGTTGTTCTGACATCCTCCACCATAACTAGGTGGGCATTCGGAACAAGGGCGGCCGTTCTTGTACGGAGCTTCTCCAATCCAGTTGCCTCTGAAAAGCGTGCAGAAAAACATGTTCCTTAATTTTCCCCTCTTCGAAGCAACTTCTGTTCGGCACACACGGTTTGCTCGGCACATAACAGGACTGTTCTTGGCTCTGTGCCGGAAATTTTACCTTCCTGAGGCCCCTCCGCAGGGAAGGAAAACTGAATGTTCTCCTTGTAGTTAGAGTGGGACAGATGGTCATAAATAGGAGGAAAGATGATTTGGGTGGGAAATATAGAGGACCTGTAGGATTCTCGCTGAAGGAAAGATGGGGATTGCCATGCCTTCCTTGATCATAACTTGGAAACATTATTCTCTTTCTTTTTTTCACTATAACTCCCAGAATCCTTGCACCACCATGCCTGATAGCATCCCACAATTTTTCTGTCCACTAGCAGCAGCAGCCATGTCGGCTGAGAGATGCTGGGAAAGGCAGACCGAAATAGCAATTTTTATAGACTCTGACCTTGCCCTCCATGCTCCTTGCCATGACTATTAAAAGTGTGGACCTACTAGGCCCAGTTCATTGGCCACTGTGATTAACACCAAAGGGTAACTCAACCATTTAAGTTGGGAGTTCAATTCCCCACTGTGCCTCCTTGATAGGGGCTGGACTTGATGATCTAATGATCTATAGAGCCCATTCCAGCTTTGGATGATGATGATGATGATGATGATGATGATGATGATGATGATGATGATGATGATGATGATGAGATGATGATGATGATGATAATGATGATGATGTTGTTGTTGTTGTTATTGTTGTTTAAAAAACCTCCAGGCACAGTCAAAATTCTAAAAACATTGACTGATATTATATAACAGATTATAAAGTTTTAACCGAAAACCTAAGTATCTGTTAAATATCAGTGCAGTATGTATACTGTTCCTAATATTGCCCTTTTTTGTAGCTCTGATGATGGTGTGATTTCTGAGACCTGCAATTGCTTATAGTACTGTGTGAAATTTCTTGACATTGTTCCCAAAGCCCCAATGATGATGGGGACCACTGAGGTTATGTTTCAACCCGAAGCAAGATGTTTCAATTGCCAGGTCACTGTGTTTTGCTAAGTTTTTCTAATTCTTAATCTTCAAATCTGGCATCTCCCGGAACTGTAATGTCAGTTATACAGACATTTCTTCTATTACTACTATGTCTGGTGTGTTATGTTCAAACTGTCTATCTGTTTGAATCTGGAAATCCCATAGGATTGTGACCATCATTTTCTGACACCTTCTCCACCTGATATTCCCATGAGGTTTAGGAGGCTGGTAAAATACATTTTTTGCATAAAGACCAGTATACTAATTTTGCCACTCTGTCATGTCTAATTTGGTAATCTGTTTGTGCAATCTTTGGACATTCACAGATAAGGAGTGACACAGTTTCATCTTTTTCTTGGCAAAGTTGATATTTGCTGTTAGCACTAATTCCTTGGATCTTAGGTTTCATAACATTAGTTTAGAGTGCTTGTTTTTGTGCAGCAAAAATCAAGCCTGCAGTTCTTTCTTAATGGGCCTCAGAGTTTTATTGTAATGCTTTATTTTTTAGATGTTGTCCATATATAATGGTTTTGTTTGTTTGTTTTCATAAAAAAATATTTTCAAATTGTTGTTTCTTATATTCTGCCTTTGTTTCTGTTGTTTTGAAAATATTCTCCATTTTCACTGCCTTAAGTAATTTTTCTCTGTTATACTAATATCACCATCATCATCATCACCAGTACTACTATTTAAAAAAATTACTTCTTTTTTACCTACAGCTCCCCAAACCTTGCAGCCAACATGACTATTAGAGGACTCAGGAGTCCCATAAACAAACTTTTCCAATTAGTGCTTGAAAAAGTAACTTTTCAAAGGTCAATTCACCACTACTAGAAGGGCTATTAGAAACCTTGCTCCAAAGGGAACTATTGAAAGAGAAAGAACGAATCTCATCTTGCATCCTTACTTGGGAGAATAGTTGCAGACCAGATAGACGGCATTCTCCCAGACTTCGCCCCACACGTCCATCCTCGCGCAGACGTTCACAGCGCAGCCGACTTTATTTGTCGTGGCCCAGACAATCTGGGAAAAGACACATAGGTTCAAGCTTACCATCTCTGGATTAGTTCCTTTGGGTAGAGCAATCCCTTTTCACAGCTAAACCTAAGTCTGGCAGACATCTTGGAAGACCTAGGAAGTTCCAACCCATTACGTGGTGCTCCTTTCTGTTTACCTTAGGAATGCAAAAAGTTCCACCACATCAAGACAAGCCTTGCCAAAAGAGCTTTGATCCAAACACGATTCAAAAGGATGCTCCTTGGGGCTCTTCCTTCATCTCTGGAGGCCCACGGAGGGAGCGGAGGGATTGTTTAGGCGCTCCTTTTCCAGCCTCACACACCCCCCCACACACACTCTGTGTCTCCAGATTAATTTTTGGAACAGCTGGACATTTATAACAGGAGATGAATGAACTACTGCCAAGGAACAAATTTCTGGAAAGAGGAAAGGTAGCTTAGTTCCCATCAGTACCCAAAATAAATAGCCATTTTGAAAATGGGCCATAAAAGATAAATATTTCCCTTGCAAAAGGATAGATAGATAGATAGATAGATAGATAGATAGATAGATAGATAGATAGATAGATAGATAGATAGATAGATAGATAGATAGATAGATAGATAGATAGATAGATAGATAGATAGGTAGG